GGCGCCAGGTTCTCAGCCGCGGCGGAGCGGCCACATGTCTGCGCGGCGCGTCCCAGCAGGCAGCGCGCGGCGCCTGGGAGCCGCGTGGCGGCGCTGCACCCCAGCTTTTTGCGACATTGGCCTGGCGCCGCCAAACCCAGCCCGCGCCGCTGCCAGGGGCATTGTGGGAAAGGTCCTCCCGGCCCGGGAGGGGGCGGGGAGTGAGCCGGCGGCGCCTGTGGCAGCTGTCCGGTGCTGGCCAGCCAATGAGAGGGAGGCGGGGGGGTACGGGGACGCAGCACGCTGGCTCCCTTTCCCCTCCTCAAAGCGGGGCCTGCGCTGGTACAGCCGTGTCGCTGGGCATGCGCCAGTCGCGGGGCGCGGGGAATGTTACAAAGCCGCCTGCAGTGTCCGCGGACGTGGTCACTTGTGTCGGGTGGCAGCACGTGGCTGCTGTCTCTCGGCCCTTGCTGGTGGGCCCCTGCCGGCACCTTACCTGGGTGGCACAGTTCCCTCCTGAATCGCGCCATAAATTGAGGCCGGTCACACGTGCAAAGTAGGTACCCCACCCTAAAAGTGGCTGCCCAGCTATAAAAGGCTCCACAGTTAGTGCTTGAAAGCACGTCACAGCTCGAGAGCCGGTTTGTGTCCAGCTGCTATCTGAAGGTGTGACGGGTGTGTCCGGACTCAGAGGCAGCTGCCGGGGTTTCAGTGATGGAGCCCCAGCAGACTCCCTGGTGCCACAGCAGGGACTCCTATGGTACGTGCTGACTGTCAGCCGCCTGCGGATCCCAAGCAGCTTAGGGGCAAGCACACAATAATTATGCAGTTTACAGCAAGAACAGGGCTAAATTTTTTTGGGTTGTTCGACCTGGTGTGCTCACAGCTCTTTGGGGCACATGGCAGTGAAGCAAAGGGCAGATGAAGCAAGGTTTACTTGCCATATCTCTAATTAGGCCTGCACTTTTGTAACCAGCTCATAGTTGTCATCTGACCTGCTTACACCAAGCAGACAGTTGTCCCATACAACAGCCTTTTTTTTTTTTATATAAACAGTACAACCACCCATGCCTCTCACACCGCGTACTACAGGTGGTTATGGTCATAGGCACTGACTGTTTTGGTGCTTGCACCTATAAAACAAACAACCCCCCACCCCCCAAACACACGCACTTTACATTCAGTGCCCATTATGAGCCTCATGCATGCCCAGAAGAGGTAGCGTGTTACTTCTACCCAGCTCTGCAGTGTCTATAAAGTTCAGGCGCTTTAGTGGGGCTTTTTCGGCACTTATCTAATAGCTAGATAAAAGTGCCAAAAACCCCTGCTGAACCCACCTGATCTGTAGATGCTACAGAGCCAGGTTGAAGTCAAGCACTTTTGCTTCCTGTAAAGCGTGT